CCCCAAAACCCCAAAACCCCAAAACCCCACGATGATTTATAGAATAATAATCGAAGAAATCAAGAACTTTTTACTAATTAAGTGATAATAAATAAGCTGATAGTATATATCAAATTTCATTAAGAAAGCTTGTTCTAAAAGCAGAGTCCTTGCATACAATTTTGATGACTGGGTATTGTGGGACAATATGATGTCTATGCTATAAGATCTTAAGAAGAGTCCAATCCATATTGCACTTGACATACTTCTTGTTTGATTTATCTTTAGCTTTATCTTTAGGGTCAAGGGGCGTAGTTGAATCCGCTTCAAAATATACTTCGATTGTGTTGAATTTATATTTTCCTTTCTCATCCCAAGGAGCTCTCTCAGCAAATACAGCTTCTAAATGATCCTTAAGTGTCTGATCTTCACGCCAATCCTAAATAAAATCAGTAGCCATGTATTCGTCATAAAGAATCAAAACAGGGAAGTGAAGAAGTCCATTGTCATCTTCAAAAATAGAGATTTCAACTATTTCAGGCAAATGATGTACTTGTTTACCTATCTTGATCTGCTTTGACCTCATTGCTTTGTAAATCTAATATTTCTTATCCTACTAAATGCTTCTCATTGTTGATATCTCTTCTATTCTTTGTTCTTCCTTTTTGTACTCATCCTTTGCTTTCTTTAATAGATCATTTACAACCCTGCTATCTCCGAATTTCTTTAGTGCCTAAGTGCCATAATCAATAGCTTCCTTATACTTCTCAACGAAAATTCTAGATCTCATTAGAATGGTCCATGATTGCTCTGATTCCTTGAATTTTCTAGCCTCGATTGCGTCCTCTTTAGTCTTACCAAACTAACCAATAAGGATATTAGCCTTAGCTCTGCCGATATATAGATAATAGAGCAGGTCCTTGTCATCATGCTTTTATTCTAGACCTTAATCAAAGCAATATATAGATTCTTCAATGTCTTTACTTTCATTCTTGCTATCTTTCATCAACACCTTATTCAATCTATCATATCCATGATTCTATAGGAAATATAGTACAATTACTATTTACCTTGAAGTTTTTAGCTATTTCATCTGCAGAACCCTCGTATGCGAGTGCTTATAAGGCTTGATACTCTGGTAATTCAAGCATCTCAGGAGTCATCTTCTTAGCATTCAAAGGATGATTTACGAAATATTGAATATCCTCCTCAACTTCCTCCTGAGTTCTTGGCTTTTTATTTTGATTCCTAGCTTGCATAATATCATAGAAGTCAGAATCTTAATCAATTTCTGCTTTAGCAGTGCTTTCCATTTTCTTTGTATTATTTATATAGTATTGATTTGATTAAGAGTATATGTAAATATATGCTATTGCTATTTTTAAAATAATTTTGATACATGGGGTTTTGGGGTTTTGGGG